CACGTTATTCGTTCAATTTTAATTTTTACTACTCTATTCATCGCTGTTGTTGTCTTCTTTTTGTTATTTTTGTCCCCTTGACTTTTCTGTTGCTTCATTTCACTTTATACGTTCAACTATTAATTTTCACTACTCTAATCTTCTGTCTACAGCCATACCACCGAGAAAAAACCGGTTCTCGTCCGATCACCGAAGTGAAACTGGGTAGGGCCAGCGTAGTACTTGGATGGGTGACTACCTGGGAATAACTGGTGCTGTAGACTTCTTTTCATTTCATTCCCCTTGACTTTTGGATTGCATCATTTCACGTTATTTGTTAAACTTTTAAGTTTTACTACTCTATTCATCGCTGTTCTTGTCTTCTGTTGTTTTTTTTAGTGGTATTTTCATCCGTTCTAGAAAAGTTTGCAGCCGCTGAAATCGTGATGCAGCATAAAGTAGCATAAGTTGTGCAATTTCTTCTGTCTATGGCCATACCACCGAGAAAAAACCGGTTCTCGTCCCATCACCGAATTGAAGCTCCGTAGGGCCAGCGTAGTACTTGGATGGGTGACCACCTGGGAATAACTGGTGCTGTAGACTTCTTTTCATTTTATTCCTCTTGACTTTTCCATTGCATCATTTGACGTTATTCGTTCAACTTTTAAGTTTTACTACTCTATTCATTGCTTTTGTTGTTTTCTTTCTTTTTCTTTTTATTAGTGGTATTTTCTTCCGTCCTAGAAAAGTTTGTAGTCGCTGAAATATTGAAGCAGCATCAAGTAGCATAAGTTGTGCAATCTCTTCTGTCTACGGCCATACCACCGAGAAAAAACCGGCTCTCGTCCGATCACCGAAGTSAAACTGGGTAGGGCCAGCGTAGTACTTGGATGGGTGACCACCTGGGAATAACTGGTGCTGTAGACTTCTTTTCATTTTATTCCTCTTGACTTTTCCATTGCTTCATTTCACTTTATTCGTTCAACTTTTAATTTTTACTACTGTATTCAATGCTGTTCTTGTTTTCTGTTTGTTTTTTTTAGTGGTATTTTCTTCCGTTCTAGAAAAGTTTGTAACTGCTGAAATGGTGAAGCAGCATAAAGTAGCATAAGTTGTGCAATCTCTTCTGAGTACGGCCATACCACCGAGAAAAAAACAGTTCTTGTCCGTTCACCAAAGTCACCAAGGAAAATAGAGGGACTTAGGTCGCAGTCTAACCATTGATAGGGTATTATGTACCCTAATGTGATGTATTAGTATGTATATAAATCCTTAATTTATTTTATTCCTATGAAGCCCAAAGGGTGGCTAATGTGCTTATTTCACATTACTTGTGACTATAATTTATATTTTGGGGTGTTTGGGTATTTCTTTCTCCCTTTACTACTGATATTTTGATCATAAACTACAAAGAAATGTATGGAGCGATGTTCGATGTTGAGTGTATGACGTCACAGACTCCAAAAAATAATGGTAAAAATATCATACTTTCGTCCTGAATATCGAGAAAACACTTCATACAGTGATTATTGGACCTTTAAAGAGTATTCTTAGGAAGTTTCAGCTGAATCCAAGTTTGAGCGATTTTCGTCGTAGTAGCACTTTAAAAATGAAACGGGAAATTTAGCAAGAACTTATTTTGTTTAAATGATTTACTTTCTCATGTAAATAAAATAAAAGTGTCTTATAATCGTTGTAGTGCGTTTGGAAAAGATATTTTGGAGTTGTTTGTCGGAAATATTTTATTTTCACTCCGAAAAATGTTACAAAGTCACTCTGAACAAGGGCACTAGGACACCGAATGTGGTTGGATTTCAGTATAGGTTTTTTTTCCTTTCGATTATTTGAATTAAATTAACGTTATACTTATTTACTTATCTTGTGTCCGTGTTCCTTCGTTCGCTGTTGTAATGCAGACGTTTTCATTCCAAAGGTCAAACGGTTTGAATAGTACGGCGTATCTAGAATGCGGGTAACGGGTAACGGGTAACGGGTAACGGGTAACGGGTAACGGGTAACGGGTAACGGGTAACGGGTAACGGGTAACGGGTAACGGGTAACGGGTAAAATATATAAATCAATAATTCATATGATAAATAACCATGAAAATATAAGTATAATATAATACAATAATAATAATAAAAACAAGAAAACTCCCTGGTTTATGACCGTGTTTCCACTAGGAAAATTTAACTCGCCTAAGAATCCATAAGGTGTTACTGTCGTGCCCCGGAAATAAAGCAAACTCAGCATCATTAAGGCATGGCTCTCAGATGAAAAACTGATTAGCTATATCATAGCCAGTTTTCTACGAATCTTCCCCAAACTTGGCAAGTTAATGTCTTTTGTGAAAMGAAGGAACCTTAGGGCCTTAGTTACCATGGAAACTAAGTCATGTGACCACAARGCCGCCATCTTGGATTTTTAAACAAGCCGTTTGTAAACGTACCGAAACATCTTTAAAAGTCATGAAAATGCAGATTACTATTCATATTTACAATGCCTATATGGATCTAATTGGATATCTTGTAAATTATTTTAACTTTAATTTTTAGAATATTTTCTATTTTTTCCAAAAAATTAAAAATATTCTAAAAATTAAACTTAATGTAATTTCCAGGATATCCAATTAGATTCATATAGGTATTGCAAATATCAAAAGGGATATGGATTTTCAGGACTTTTGAAGTAGTTTCAATACGAATACAAACGATTTTTTAAAAAAATCCAAGATGGCGGCCTTATGGTCACGTGACCTGGTTTCCATGGTAACAGATATGCGGTAATTGCTTGCCTTGAAGAATTACTATTACGAGCCAAGTTTGGGAAAGATTCATAGTAAACTGTCAAAGATATGAATAAATAACTGATTTTCCATCACTTCCTCAAAAGAGCCATGAGAAGTTAGACTACGTAGCAAGATGGTTTCAAGTTAACAAACCAGTTTTCTTCTTGACCGACCGGTCAGTAAACAAACACCTCAAGGAATGTTACGCTTGTGATGTTCGGACCACCTGTGGGTATCAAGCTATTGGACACCTCCAAACACGACCCCTTGTTGTAGCTACACAGAGGTACTTTTAAACAGTCGCTTCAATAGTTGTTCTCTAGCTTTTTATCACTGACTTCACCAGCACCGGCCTCCCTTTATCGATAAATAATGACCAGTCCCTAATCAATTGGAATGTTGAAGAAACATTTTAAAAAACAAACTGACTTTTCTAAACAACTAGTACGATTACTTGTAAGCCATGAAAATGACTTCGCTGATTTGATCAACTGACGTATAGTTCAATACAAACTTAACTGGTAATCAGTTTCATAAAAACAAACTTTATATAAGAAATATGGCCTGTGAACGATTGAAAAAGACTGGTGAGCAGTGTCAAGGAATTGCGAAATGTCGGATTTGCTTCGAAAAATCGACTCAGTTCACTATTAGAATTCATCAGTATACAAAAATATTCAATTAAACATTACTCATTTAGTGATTTTATTCATTTTATGCTGTTTATTAAAACTTTTCATTGAGATAACTAACCTTCAAAGGGATTCAGTTCAGTCGATTTATCGTCTTGCTGGGTTTCTCTTCTATCATCTTATTCGTAAAATTAAATTAAAACCACATTAATTTGATTAATCTACACTTAAAAAGCTAATATTTTGTATCATTAAGTATTTTGTTAAAATAATATTTACCTTCCTTGCCTCCTGAATTTGTGATGGTGAAGAGCGAAGTAATTTTTCTGCTCATTTTGTTAGCTGTAAGTATAAGCCCACGAGGGATTGCACGAGGAAAGAAATAACTAGAGCCCAGTACCCGCTTTTAATACCGCACAAACAAGTAACGCCTGGGCGAATAAGTATATCAAAAATGATGCAAGTCGTCGCTAGATATATCGTATCTTTTTTAGATACAGAAAATTATGTAATATTACAATAATAAATAATGGTAATCATAACCAAATCTCATGCGTTTTTTTGTGTGTGAGGCATTATATGCCCCCCCCCCCCAAAATCTAGTGGGGGGCCAGTGCCCCCCCGGCCCCCCCGCTTCCGCCGCCCCTGCCGCCGGCCGTGACCAATCAGAGCTCACCATTTGACAATTTGCTGTCAAAATGTTTATCTAGACTAACTTGAAAAGCACCAGAGGGAAGAACGTGGGCCCTGTCTCTTGGTCTATCCTAACTATTTCTGTACCTGTGGGTACGTTTCTCTCTTTTTTTTTCTATTTATTTATTTTTATTTTTAATCTCGCGCTCTATGGTAATGTGATCTATTTAGTTTTAAATCACCTCAAATTTACATAATGGAAACAAGCTGCACATTTATTCTAGTTTAAGCTGGTATGTAAACAAACACCTAGAGGAATTTTAAACTACCAAAAATGTCCTAGTGGAAACGCACCCAATGTTAAGACGATGATGTCATTTCCGTTTTGGTTCTTTCTGCACTCGGCAATGACACGAGTGAAAAACGTATGCAAATTAGTCAAATTATAAGTAAATTTGACTTTCAAACATCCCTGATAAATTGGACTTCACGAAATGCCAAAACTTAGTGTCCATGCTTGAAACTTAAAACTAATTCTTTCATATTGTGTTTGTTAATACAGTATCTTTATAAAGGTATACGAAAAATACACCATTTTTAACGAGCTTTTTTTAACTATGATTTTTTTTTGTGGTAAAATTGTAAAAACGAAACAAAAAATCATAGAAGAAATCACGAAAGAAAAGCCTGATTAACCGCAGTGTGCAGATAGAGGTTAGGACATTTTCTATTTTGTTTTATTTAGTGTAAATAACATAACTACAATTTTACCGGAAAATGAGCAACAAACTAAACGAACGAGCGAAAAAAGCGTACCTGCAAGTGTTTTTCTCCTGGCCAAGTCGATTGGGCGTGGCGGAATCGCGTATCTCCGAGAGTATTTATCCAATCGAAAAAAATATTTTTGATGACTTACCTTCTACAGGGGTGATTGGGATCAATACTTCTTCTTCTTATCATTATTATTGAGATGTATTATTATTAATATTTTTAGACATTTTAAGAATGCTAGCTAATTAAAATTACGTGCCCCTTCTCCTCCCCTCCCCCCACCTCCGTTCCAAACCCTCTTCACCTGGTTTCTCTGGTAAATTAGATAAAAATGCCAACAAAAAGTCAACCTTTGTCATCTTCTTACGAATTCAAATATGATAATTAAACTAATAAYCGCTTTGTGTTTTCTCTCTCTGTGGGGAACCAATGTACTACGCTGAAGATCCTCTGACTCCTTACCTACTCAAAGGAAAGTATACCTGGTCATTTGAACAAAAGCTGCACATCCTAGTGCTTGATGTAAACCATGACAAGGTTTGTATCAAACGGCCGAACAACGTCCAAGAAAATTCGCTCTTTGTCATGAATCGTTCTAAATTGAAAAACGAGGCCGACTGGCTTATGACCGATCTAGGAGCATTCGACAATCGGGGATCAAATGCCTGGAGCTTTGTTGTCCAAGGCAACACGGTTGTCGAGAGCCAATTTGTTCGCAACTGGAAGACTTTGGAAATGACAAAGGGACAATACATATTAAAGAATGTTTTTTATCGGCACAAGAAGTACAAGGACTTCTTGAGGACATCAACAGTGGTATTGGACCACAATGGGAAAGAATTGCCTCTTGCTTTGCTCGAATACCGGTACACCGGTAACGAGCACCACGTTAGTCCGCACAAGAATCCACGCACCGGCAAGTCTTTTGTGCAAACTGCACCTTCAACTAAAGCAAAAATCAAAGAAAAAGTGAAGGGACACCAGGGTCCTTCGTCGATATTTGATCAAACCGTTGAAGAGGTGGGGAGGATTGTCAACTGTGATGTTGTTGCGGACATGCCCCGTGACAATAAGCAAATCATCAACGCGCGCAGTAATAGCAAATTAAAGTCCAGCCAGACCACAGCCGATCTGGAAAACCAGCGGCATTGCCCGGGCCTGTCATGTTCCACGTGACCAAGACAGAAAAAGATTTCAAATATTTTATTTATACACTTATGGAATAGGACAGTAGGTTAGAAAAAATTAGATATGTTGGTGGTGATAGGGATAAAGCCCAGCAGGGATTCATATCACCTCTAAAAGGGTGCACTTTTCTACCTTGTAAAAAACACGTGGTTGATGACATCACTAGAAAAGTGAACGAACTGGGCCTTAATAAGGCCTGCAATGAGATTCTAAAGGATATTTTTGGCTGCGAGAGAAACAAGGAAAAAGGGATTGTTGACACTACATCTGACGATGAATTCCTTGCTAAAGCTATGAGCGTAACTGACAAGTGGGACGGTATGGAAATCGAGAAAAAGAAAACGGACAGCCCGGAATTTTCGCACTATTTTCGTACATACATTCAAGAAGACCTAAAGAATGGCATGCTTCTTGGTGCTAGAAGAAAAGCTGGTCTTGGAGATGAGTTTTTCTATAACAATGCCCAGGAATGCAGCAATTTTAAATACAAATCAAAGATCCGCGAAAGCAAATTTGAAAATGCCACTGGGTACAGACCCAGTATGAAATGTACATGGGTCGAAGCTATAAAGATCTATGGTAGTATGGTTGAGGAAGTAAACAGAGAGAAGGAACGAGCTTTGTTGAGGAAAGGACAATTTTTGCTGTCTCCCAATTACAGGCACCTGGAGATAACGATTCAACAGTGGTCCTCGATGACACCCAACGAGAGGCAGCAACGACTTGCAAAGCTGTCTCTAAAGTCTTGCGCCACTCCATTTACGGTAGAGAGCAAGGAGAAGCATGCTACCCCATTAGGAAAGTTTGAAGATACGAGTCTACCAGAATTCTTGAGAGGTTCTTTTATGAACGCGTCCAAGATTGTTGAACTGAAAGGAGTAGGTCCTTTCCCAAATAACACAAATAAAAGGACGGTGATTTCTCTTTCAAAATCCACAGTTCACACTGTTGATATTCAAAAAAGTGGGAAAGTTGTATGCAATGACACCTGCCCCCGGTACAAAGAACATGCCATCTGTGCACACACGATTGCCGTTGCACGCTGTGTKGGAAAGCTCTTGCATTTTCTGGACTCATATAAAGCCCCTCTTGACCGCATGGTTCGCTCGTCCATTTCAAGCGGGTCCGGGATGAAAGCGAACCAGAAAAAACGAAAACGAGTGAGGGGAGCCGACAAGATACTATGGCGTTATATTCCCGACAAAATTCAACCTCAGGTCTTCAACATTCTAATAAAGAATTTAGTGTTTCACTTACAATGCAATATTGTTAGTTGCTTTTCCGACATTGAAGATTTCGATTTCAACTTAGCTGTAATCTCGTCCAACATTCGAGTTCCACGATTGAACATTCGTTAATAGCTTTCCGTGTCTGGACAAAATTCAACATTATTCTTTTGACATACATCAAGTCTCAACATTCATCTTTGAGAACGTTATTTTCTAAACAGTATATTAAAATTAACCATTAGAGTTTCTCGTTCAAGGACTAAGGTTTTAAAGTTTTTAGATACAAACACATAATCTTTCCGTCATTGTTAGATTACGATCCAGCATTCAAGTTCTAGCATTGAACTTCACGCACGAGTGCGTTTGACCTATGCACAGGCAGCCCAAACAAGGTTCCTGTGTATGGTTTATAAGGGAATGTATGGGAGTTTGTTTGGCTTGTTTGGGCTGCCTGTGCAGGCCGGTGATGTTTTCTCAGAGGATGAGCCCTACGAACTGATGATGGTAAAAAATACTGCGGCAACCACTTGCTATGGTTGCAAGGGACGGGTGCGCGACAAGCCATCCTCGCCACCACCTCCTGCTCCTTACGATATTTTTATAATGCATCGTGAACGTAGAGTGTTTAGAAAACGTGGTGAAATTAAAGTCAGGATTACAACTGAGCCCGAGCGAGTCTTCTTTCACCCCACAGAGGCATGCTGTGCTGACCTCAAAAAGTCTGACGTCCGCGATGGGAAGCTACTAATATCTAAAGATGTCTTGGGCCAGTTGAAAGACAGCCACAAGCGTCTTCTCTTCAACGAACTTGGAGTTTTTTTGACTAGAGTTTAGTATAGAGTGTAGTCAATAAACCCTTGAAACAGTAGAGTGAACGCACTTAAAGCGTGAAATTGTACAAAATCTGAATAGTACAAAATAGTGCAGAAGCCTCTGTTTTCTATTGTTTAAATGTTGCTCTTGCACAATTTAGATAGTACAATTTCTTGGTTTAGGTGCGTTCACTCTACTATCTAATTAAGATATAGATTTGGTGCTATCTACGTGTAAACAAAGTTACGACTATTTCGTGTGTTTATTGACTGCACTCTACGCTTATTTATGGCGACATGGTAACTTAAGAAAAACTAAGTAGAAAAAAAGCATTTTTTCCAATATAACTGACAGTACATACTTAGAACAGTTTTCGTACGAGTGCGAAACTTATCGAACTGTACCGTGACCGTACCGTAATTTCTATAGAAACATTCTAAATTGCTGTCGTAACCGTACTCTAACTATGCAGTAACCGTTACGGTCAGTTACCCACTCATACGATTTATATACTATTCCACGATTCTACGTGCATTCGGCTGCAATGTTTATTTTCTTTTACATTGTTTTGTTTGTCAGACATTTAGGGAAAATTAGATAGATAAAAAGATGACAAAAATTTTTTTCTATCATTTTCGATTAAGAAAAAAGCGATAATAAACATTGAGTACAAACACTAAAAGTTTGCACTATTTACTACAAAATGGTGCTAATTAATTGAATAGAAAAACACAGAATTAGACTAGTATTATATAGCATAATTAGTGATATTTGGAGTTGTGGATTGCATTTACCCGTTAAATAAGCTTTAGCGTATTCAATACAATCTTTTACATTTTAGTTGTACACTTTGGTTCACGGTCTAATGAAAACTACGCGCGTACTCTTCGTTGCACGATTTTAGTGTTTGTGCAGTACTCTACAAAGGAGCATTACAATCAACAGAGCAATATTTAATCATTATCGAATATCATTTGAAATAATTCCATATTACACTTGATATTCCTAGATAAATCTGTTATCATAATGGTTGAAACGTTTTTCCATTAACAAAGAATGTACAAAAGATTTTGCTATTTTCCGTGATACGAAAAATTAATTTTACGTGAAACGTGATCACTTCGATTTTAGCGTGAATGGGATTTTAAGAATTTTACGTGAGGCGGGAATTGGCCAAATAATTTTACGTGAATGCAATTTACGAGGGGGTAAAGGGGACCCTGCTACACCTTAATACCTCAAAACATCTACAGGAGCATATTCATATAAGTATACAGGAGCACACACATAAGTAATGCCCTACGTTCGTCCTTGTTATTTATATCTAGACGGTTTTGGATATTTTGGTTGTATGTAACTTATATCTTATTAACATTGGTATACATCCCTTTATATCATTGTATGGCACTCGCAGCATTCCACTTGCATATTGCAACGACTAGTATTATTTACAAACATGAATTGCTAATATTTTGACTTGAAGCGACGTCTTCTCGACGTCTAATCTTCTCAGCGTTTGCCGTTTAAATAAACAACAAGTCAGTTTTTTATTCTTTTTTATTTTACCCGTTACCTGTTACCTGTTACCTGTTACCCGTTACCTGTTACCCGTTACCCGTTACCTGTTACCCGTTACCAGTTACCCGTTACCCGTTACCCGTTACCCGTTACCCGTTACCCGTTACCAGTTACCCGTTACCCATTACCTGTTACCCGTTACCTGTTACCCGCATTTTAGATACGCCGTTGAACCGGCTGTGAGCGTTACTTCTTTCACTTAAGGTGAATTTGATTAACCATATTAACTTTGGACGGTTCAATATTAATGACGTAAGGAGCATCGGGCGGTCGCGTTGTTGTTATAGGTATAGTACGAACAGAGTCAAGTACGGAACGGCCGTTAAAGCACAGGCAGCCCAAACAAGGTTCCTGTGTATGGTTTATAAGGGAATGTATGGGAGTTATGATAAAGTTACGAAAATAAAATGGGTTATTTAGGTAGAGAAGAGCAGATTTTGAAAAAACCCACTAAACGGCCTCAAATCGCGCTCAAACTTCGCCAGAAGGCTGAACAAAGTAAAAGCAACGACTGCAACAAGTTTTGAAGCAAATTGTTGCGTGAAACATTTTATTTTCGTAACTTTATCATAACTCCCATACGTTCCCTTATAAACCATACACAGGAACCTTGTTTGGGCTGCCTGTGGTTAAAGAAGTAACGCTCACAGGCTATTCAAACCGTTTGACCTTTGGAATGAAAACGTCTGCATTACAACAGCGAACGAAGGAACACGGACACAAGATAAGTAAACAAGTATAACGTTAATTTAATTCAAATAATCGAAAGGAAAAAAAACCCCTATACTGAAATCCAACCACATTCGGTGTCCTAGTAGTGCCCTTGCTCTGAACCATGAATCAATCCCCTCCCCTCCCCTGTGGTGTTGGTTTGTGTTGACATGTAAACGAGGCAGACACGTGGTATCAGAGGAGCAGTCGACGAGAAAAGTTGTTGTGTGAATATTTTCTGACTAAAAATCCTTCTTTTCTTCCTCAAATATGGATCTTTACAGGCTCATACTGCACCCTAAAGGTAAATTACCTATTATGTTAGAAATTTATTATTTAATTCACTTATTTAGAGCGATATTTTAGAGTTGAATTGACCGTAAAGAGTTCGGTTGCTYGTCGCCATGTTTTGGCGGGATTCATTCTCAACAATTTAGCTTCAACTTGAACGATTTATTGCTTGAAAAAACTTCTTTGGGAATACTCCTTTTTACAGTTCCCGGCGCCATCTTGGACTAGGTAACCGCGCATGCATGATAGCGAGGCTGGAGTTGAGTCGCGTCTTGGATTTGGTAGAAGTTTGTATAAATACTGTGAAGTTTTTCCTGGTTTATCTCAATTTTTAAAAAAATGGATGAAAGTTTATATCCCGAAGAAGCTTCTTCCGATTCTTTGAAGAGGAGAGGAAAGCACTGTGCGGCTTTTGGTTGCACGAACAGCTTTTACGGAGCAGACGGCAGGCCTACCGGTTACCATTTCTTTCGTTTCCCCATGGACATCCAGAGAAGAAACCGATGGTGCAATTTGATAAAGCGTATGCATGGAAAGGACGGGTTCTTCGTAACAAACAGCACTTATATTTGCTCTGAACATTTCAGAGAAGAACAAATTGACAAGAAATTGAGTGGTCGCTGGGATTTAAAGAAAGGTTTGTATGTACAATATTGCTTGTTACTTTGTTTATTACAGATGRTAAAAGGAAGATGAGCCTGAAGTCTTAAAATGTTGACTATGTTTTTATATTTCGTTTCTCTCCCATAAAATTGAATGAAAGATCGTTTAATTTTAGTCCCAAAGCCTTTTGAACAAGAAATTTATTTCWACTCAGTATTGACTTTGTTATTAAACTTAATTTTAACACTCAAGCAAATAAACTGAATGCCATGTACTACTTTATTAGCAAATCTGATATATTTCTATTCCCTATCGTAATACCTTTATAAACAAAAAACAAAATAATACCTTTGTAAACAAAAAAATATTGCAAGTTCAAACACACTATATATAGTAACTTGAAATAATAACGATCATTTTATCTTATTTCTTATACATATCTGTTACTATCTTACTTCAGGTGCAGAGCCATCTAAGTTTAGTTGGACTGAACAGAAAATGCAAAGAAAGCCACCTGCTAAAAGATCATATCCAGAAACAAACACGAAGCAAAAAGAAATGGCTCAAGAACCGAAAGAATTATCTTCAAGTAAAGAAGTTGTATCTTCTGTTGACAATGTGTCAGTTTCATTATGTTATGATTCAACTGAAAATATGCCGTCACCAACAGCTGAATCAGAAATTTTAACTGAAACACCAACCACATCAGATATTATTGCTGATCTACAAAGACGGATGGAACTACTGCAAAGTGAATTAGCTGACTGTCAACAAAAACTAAATGAAGCTGAAAAAAGCAAATCAGTATTATTGGAACGTCAGTTTTCGCTTGAAAAAATCAAACAAGACACTGATGCAATCCTGTTCTATACTGGATTTCCCTGCTATGAAGCACTGATCAGTTTCTTCAACTTTATTGAGCCCAAACTTCTTAAGATGCAGTATTGGAAGGGGGACAGCAGATTAGTAAAAGACAGCCAAGACTATCAAGAGGATCAAAATAGAAAGAAACCTGGGCCTTCAAGAAAGCTATCTTACTTGGATGAGTTTCTACTAGTACTGATGAGACTCAAGGCTGGGCTTTTTGTCCAAGACCTTGCTGACAGATTTGGTATCAGCAAAGGCCTTGTTTCCAGGGT